TACCACGTTGGGTGAGGCCTTACACACCTTCACCCTTGACTCGGGTGCTTTCCGCTCTTTCTTTAAAGACCGCACCACGCTTACACAACTTAGTCGGTCTGTTGTGGTCTCCCTAGCGGACCCCTCTAGGGGTCCTGCCCTTGCTAGCTTCTCCACTGTCTTACTGTGCCCGGCAGCCCCCTCTAGCACCCTGTCACGTCTCTACCTCCCCTCGTTCTCTACGAACTTGGTGAGTGGAGCGGACCTACAAGATAGAAGGGTTGACCAGTTCACTCCTATGGGTAAGCGAGAGACCCACTGCACTCGTGCTCAGACAAGCTGACACTTGGCCACGTTCACCTGTCGGCCAGGGTCGAGCCTGTACACCCTTACTACCGAGTCTCCTCCCGTTGTTGAGTCTGCCCAGGTAGCAGCGTCGAGTCAGGTGTTTGCTGTAGCGTCCAGGTCTGGTCCTGAGTCTGCTCCCTGCTCGTGTCGTCTGCTATCCCACTAGACTCTCCTTTGGCACCACCGCCTTGGTCACCCCTCCTTGCCTCGTATTCGATGCATGGCATCCCATGTCTGTGTCTCTGGTCTCCCTTGGTCTCTCCTTCCCCTACCTCCAGGGCCTGGCCCTACCTGCGTCCCCTGCGTCAAGGGGCGACAGCGCGCCGCCCCTCACTCCTCCGAGTTTCCTCTGACAGAGGCTCGGCTACAGACTCTCCACATGGACGTGTGGGGCCCAGCCCGCATCACTGGGCAAGGGCGCGAGCGATACTTCCTGCTGGCGGTTGACGACTACTTGCGTTACACCACAGTCTTCCCCATGCGCAGCAAGGGTGACGTCACTGAGGTGTTGATCGATTGGATCCGCGCGGCCCGTCTCCAGCTCAGAGAGAGTTCCGGCTCGGACTTTCTTGTTCTGCGTCTGCACTAGGACAGAGGCGAGGAGTTTTCCTCTGCCCGTCTCGGAGCCTTCTATCGTGCACAAGGCATCCGCGAGACCTTCACGCTTCCGGCCTCTCCACAGCAAAATGGGATTGCTGAGCGCCGCATTGGCATGGTCATGGACGTCGCTCTTATGTCCATGATGCATGCGGCTGCCCCCCATTTTCTGTGGCCGTTTGCGGTTCAGTACGCCGCGCATCAGCTCAACCTTCAGCCCCGGGTCTCCTTGCCAGAGACCTCCCCCGCCTTGTGGTGGACGGGGAAGGTTGGCGAGTCTGCGTTTCGGGTCTAGGAATCTCGGGCGTTTGTCCGCGCCTTGTTTGCGGACAAGCTGTCCCCCCGTGCTGTTCCCTGCGTCTTCCTTGGCTTCCCCCCTGACGTGCCTGGATGGCAGTTTTACCACCCCACCTCGTGCCGCATCCTGTCCTCCCAGGACGTCACCTCTGACGAGTTGGTGCCTTACTACGATCTCTTCCCCTACCGCAGTGCGCCCCTCCCCCCGCCGCCGCTCTTCCTTGCGCCAGGTCCTCCCCCGGTAGACCCCCTCCCCCCTCAGGGTCCTGCCCTATCAGGTGGGTGTGTCTCAGGTAGATGCAGTCGAGCCTGTCGAGGTAGCTGTTGACTCTGCTGCTGCTCGAGGTGCTGTGCCTGCGGGTGCCGGGTCTGGGGGTGCCGAGCTTGGGGGTGTTGAGTCCAGGGGTGCGGAGCCTGGGGGTGCTGAGTTTAGGGGTGCTGAACCTGGGGGTGCTGTGTCTGGGGGTGCTGAGCCTGGGGGTTCTGAGCTTGGGGGTGCGGATCCTGGGGGTGCTGGGTCTCCACGTGTGACCTCTCGCGGTGCTTTGTCGAGGCGGGAGCCGCTCTCTCCGCAGGAGCTGCGCGAGTGGTTTGCCCGGCGTTGGAGCGGTGCTGCTAGTGGTGGAGGTACTACTATTGCTGCTGGTCCCAGAGGTGCTTGTACTGGCGAAACTGGAGCTGCTGGGGCTAGGGGTGCTGCTAGAGGTACTGCTGGAGCTGTTGGCGGTACTGGAGCTACCGGTCCTACTGGAGTCGGTGCTGCTGGAGCTGCTGGAGTTACTGCTGGAGCTGCTAGCAGTACTAGAGCTGCCGGTCCTACTGGAGTTGGTGCTACTGGAGCTGCTCGAGTTACTGGAGCTGGAGCTGCTGAGGGTGTCGGCGCTGGTGGTTCTACTAGCGCTGGTGGTTCTGCTGGCTCTGGTGTGTCTGAGGGTGCTGGAGTTGGTGCTGTTGGCGCTGGCGGTGCTGCTGACACTGGTGCTGCCGCTGGGGGTACAAGTGCTGTCCCTGCTGTTTGTGGAGGCTCTTTGCGGCCGCGGCCGTACTTCGTTCCGCTACTGGAGCAGGTTCTTGGTCTCCCACCCTCAACTGGTTCTCCTCCTCCATTAGAGTGCCCACAGCCTGTCTAGTCGCAGTCACAGTTACAGCCTGCCTCCCCCCTACTCGCTCCCTTTCCCTACACTGGTCCTACAAGAGATCTTGCTGAGCGTCGTGAGCCTGCGTCTCGTCCTGCGTTGCCTGTTCGTGCTACTCGCACTAGTCGTGCTCCGCGTCCGCGTGCTCTTGCGGTCCCACGCACCCACCAGATGGCACTGCGTCTGTCCACAACTCCTCTGCGTGTCCCCTTGCCGTCTCCTCTAGAGTCCTCTCTTCCTCTCCTTGCTGACCTGGAGTCTAACTCTCTCCGTGCTGCCAGTCTTCTGGCTACTGTTGTCACTAACCCTTCTTTTGAGTCCACTGCTACGTTTGCCTTAGTTGCTGAGCTTGTTGACTTTGCTGCTGGCTGTCGTCTAGACTACACAGCTTGTCTCGTTGCTGAGTTTGCATCTGTCTGTCCTCCGTCCGTCGGGGGTGAGTATGCTCTTAGCACGGACGTCCCTGAGGACAGGGAGGAGGAGTTCCAGTGTTTTGCTGGTGCTTTGCCTCATCTCATGTCCACGCTGATTGCCCCTGAGGCAGACCCGGATGCACCAGACATCCCGACTCCTTGATCGTACGCTGAGGCGATCGAGGGTCCCTACTCCTCACATTGGCAGTTAGCCATGGTCGAAGAGATGGCTTCCTGGAAGTCCACAGGCACCTATGTCGACGAGGTTCCCCCACCTGGGGTGAACATCGTCAGTGGCATGTGGATTTTCAGGGTGAAGTGGCCGCCGGGTTCTCCGCCTGTCTTCAAGGCGCGTTATGTGGCTCGAGGCCCAGTCAGCGACAGGGAGTTGACCACTTTCAGACCTTCTCTCCCACCCCCAAGATGACCACTCTTCGGGTGCTGCTGCACATAGCCGCTCAGCGCGACTACGACCTTCACTCTCTTGACTTCACCACTGCTTTCCCACAGGGCAGCCTGCACGACGAGATCTGGTTGCGCCGCCCTCCTAGCTTCACTAGGTCGTTTGCTCCTCGTACCCAATGGAGCCTCCAGCGGCCAGTCTACGGTCTCCGCCAGGCGCCCCGTGAGTGGCACAACACACTGAGGACTACACTTGCGGCTCTTGGGTTTGCTCCTTCTTCTGCTGACCCGTCGCTGTTTCTACGCACTGACACCTCTTTGCCGCCGTTCTACATCCTCGTGTACGTCGACGACTTGGTCTTTGCTACTGCTGACACTACTCGACTCGCGCACGTGAAGTTGGAGCTGCAGAAGAGACACACGTGTATAGACCTGGGTGAACTGCGCAGCTACCTTGGCTTGCAGATCACCCGGGACAGAGCACAGCGCACCATTACCCTGACTTAGTCATACATGGTGCAGCAGGTCCTTCAGCACTTCGATTTCATGTACTCCTCGCCTCACGCCACTCCTCTGTCTACTCGCCTCTCGCTCTCAGCTCTGCCTTTGGATGAGTCCGTAGAGCCGAGTGGCCCGTACCCAGAGCTTGTTGGCTGCCTCATGTACCTGATGACCTGCACACGACCTGACCTTGCATACCCTCTTAGCATCTGGTACGCTATGTTGCTCCTAGGAGACACCGACTAGAGCACATGGCTGCAGCGAAGAGGGTGTTGCACTACTTGTACAGTACGGCGGGCATGGGGCTAGTGCTTGGAGGGCGACCTCGAGTGGTCCTTACAGGTCACGCAGACGCCTCTTGGGCTGACGACCAGGCTACACAGCGGTCGTCATAGGGTTGCACCATCAGCCTTGGTTCCGGCTCTGTTTTGTGGCGGTCTACTCGCTCGTCTTCTGTTCTCGGCTCCTGCTGTGAGGGTGAGATCTACGCCGAGGCCATGGCGGCATAGGAGTTATGCTAGCTCACCTACCTGCTGACTGACCTAGGAGAGCCGCCTCGTTCTCCTCCAGTTCTATACGTAGACAACAAAGCCATGTTGGCCTTGTGTCAGGAGCAGAGACTGAAGCATAGAACGAAGCACATTGCTCTTCGCTACTTCCTTGCTTGTGAGCTGCAGCACTGTAGTCAGCTGCGCCTTGCTTACGTGGCCTCTGAGGCCAACACTGCTGATATCTTTACCAAGGCACTTCCGCCTTGTGATCATCAGCATTTCTGTACGATGCTAGGTCTTGTGCCTACTTGGCCTTACTTGCTCACTTCTTGACCTTGCTTGTACTGTGATCTTTCTATACCTGCACTTGCTTGTTTACCTTTATATATGATCTTGCATGTGAACTGGCCTTTTGGCCTTGCTCTTGTGCTCGGATTGTGTGGTGACGTTGTGATCCACCCTGAGCTTGCTTTGCTTTGCTTGACTGGTCTTGTGACCCCTTGTTCTCCCCCACTTTGCCTATGGGGGTGTGTCAAACTCATATGCTATAGTCCGTGTAGGCTGTAGTTGGGTAGACATTATGGGGTACAACACTTTTAGGTTTTCCTACTTGTACCCACCTACTTGCTAGCTCATTCATTCCTCATTTCTTCACAGAATTGTGTCGACGTAGGTGCCTGTGGACTTCCAGGATGCCATCTCTGCGTCCATGGCTATGTGCCACTAAGAGGATTACTCACCAGCGGAGTAGTCAGCGTGTACAGGCTCGACCCAGGCGGACGGGTGAACATGGCAAGATGACGGCCCATCTGTACACACGTGCAGATCGCTACACGCTATCCTCCAGGAGTAAAGATATTAACCCATGCATCCTGAAGGACGGCGTTGCTCACTAAGTTTGTAGAGAAAGAGGGGAGGTGGAGACCTGACAGTGAGCTAGACGGAACTGCCGGACACGGGACAACAGTGGAGGAATGTGCAAGAACCAGTCCGCAAGAGGGGTCAGCCAAAGAGAAGGCAACCGGTGCTGCGAGGGGTGTGAGAGTGGTGCTGTCTAGAAAGAGGCATCGGGAAGCATGTGAGTCAAGCGTGAAGGTGTGCAAGGCTTCACTAGGCGCATTACTAGAGAGAGCAGTCTCAACAGCACCTAGCACAGACTCACTAGTACCTAGAGCAGCGGACTCTATACCGGGGTCGGGCGGCACACACAAGTAACAGTCACCTTCTGCACTAATAGTCAATGCATAAATGGCAGCAAGAATAGCATCATAGTCAAGAGCCAAGATATCTACATCACGCTTTAGCAAGTTTGCCAAGCGGGGGAGCTCAGATGGATCACGAAACTATGTGCGCCAGGCATCATCAAGACGAGTGAAGCAGCGGTACTTGGTGTGAAACCTCCCGCGGGGCTGACCAGCGCTGCTGGGGTGTAAGGGTCTCGCGCGGACGCTGCTGCTGCTGCTGCTGTTGCTGCTGCTGCTACTGCCTCTGACCACCACTAGAGCCTCCCCTCTGAAAGGCTCCACCCCGACCGCCACCACTGCCGCTGCCACCGCCCCACTGCCGCCACTACCGCCGCTGCCGCCTCCACCACCACCACTCTGCCGCCGCCTCTGCCGCCTCCGCTCCCACTGCTACCGCTACCGCTGCCACTGACACCTCCACTCCCGCCACTACTCCCACCGCCACCTCCGCCACCTCCACCACCCCCGTCGCCTCCTCCACCGCCCCCCCTTGCCGCCAACTCCACCACCCCTGCCTCCCTTGCCCTTGCCGTTGCGGCGCCTCCCACTAGGAGCAGAAGCAGCGCCGACTTCCTTAGCACCAAGGAGGTCAACATTAGCAGCAGAAGCGTAGGAGGGGGCATGGGGGGAGGGGGGACACCCCTCAAAGAGGGGAGTGCGAGGAGTGCCACGAGCAGCACCTACAGCGACAATGCTCTTCTCTGCTGCAAGCAGGTGCTTCTTGAAGTCATCGACAGTGAGGGCGGTAGGGTTAAGAGCGAGAAAGTGGTCCCTGACGGTACGAGGAGAGTTAGGGAGGCGGGTGACTAGGAAGTAGATCGTGATGTACATCGGGGGTGGGTTTGCAGCTAAGAACTCTGCAGAAAGAGCGGTACGGTAGCGAACGTCACTAGCGCGAAGATGGGAGATGAGGTCCTCAACTGTGGCAAAGGAGGACGGGTCTGGGAACAGGTAGGGCAGGATAAGGCGGCTCGAAGCAGCAGCGGCAAAGGAAGAGTAGCGAGCGACTACAACGGTGTACATGTCCTTAGCGGTCTTGTGCTCGTTGAAGTGAGCATGTTCAGCTAATGGTAGATGGTTGCGAATAGCTAGGCGAGCGGCTCCGTCATGGGTCTGCTACTGTGAACGAGAGAGGCTATCAGCTGTGTCAGGAGGAGGGGCCGTGGAGCCAGACGCATGTTGAGAGAGTTAGGAGAAAGGTGATTGATTAGGTCTAGGATGGGGTACAAACAAGCGTGTTGAGGTGAGAAATGTACCCCCTAAGGCTAGCCCCTATGTAGCCTAGACAAGTAAATACACATATATTTTGACACGGCTACCAACGCTTCAAGGACAAACAACTGACTTGTTGCCCAAGTCGCAGCTGTATCGAATCGCAACGGCAACAGCAACAGCTAGTCATGTCCCTTCATATTCCCTTGTAATCATATAAAGTTGTATCTCTTTACTATAATCAATCTATCTTGCTCTCACACACTAGTGCAATGTGGTTCAACCAGTTTACTACAACGCTTCCGCATTTACATCATCTCTTCGAGTCTAAGCCGTGAAACGATCCTAAGGGCTTTTCTCAGCCCAACATGGTATGAGAGCAAACAGGGCAAGATTCAACTCTGTTCAACTTTCTACAACAACTCAAGACATGGTAACACAGAGGAAGAGAAGTTCCTCTAACGGATCTCCCGCCACTACTCCTACTCCACCTCCAGCCTCTGGACTACAGATAGAGGGAGGTAAGGCGATAAGACCAACTGCTGAATTTAGTGAAACTCTTGCAAACCAAACAACCGGCTTCGACCCAAGCATGATGGAGAAGTTTTTCTCCTTCATGACGTTTTACGAACAACACCAGCAAGCATCACCTGCGCAATCAAACAACAGCGACAACAACAATGACGTTACCCCCATGAGTCTTGATGGCTCATCCTTTGCGCGCGAGAATCCGCAGCAGCCTACCTTTGCACCGTATGAGCCTCAACGCGGCTCCGTGAGCTTCATGCCAAACCAGCCTCCATGAGGACAAGAAAAGACACTGGATGCACTTCAGATATAGTCACAGTTTGCACATGTTCTAAAACTACAAACGTCAACACCGTTCAATGGCAAGGACTTTTATACCTGGTCGTTCAAGTTCGAGCTGATGATGGAAGGCGCTCAAATCCTTGGCTTCTTCGATGGATCCCTGCCATATCCAACGTACGGGACGCAATATGACAAGAAGCAGTATGCGTATCAGTCACTGATGGCGTACACCATACTCGTGCGCAACATAATGCCAAACGAGCAGCAGAATATTCAGTCTTATCGTGGATACGGCAACTCCGCCGAGCTCGCGTACAGCCACTTGAAGAACCAGTATCAAGCAACCGACAACTTTAAGCAGAGTCGTCTCATGGCACAACTGACAACAGTGCAAATGCAACCCGGCGAAAAAGGAATGGCATGTATCAGACGCGACCGCGGCCTGCGCGATAGAATTATTCGATGCGGTGGATCAATATCCGACAAGGCGTTCATCACTGTTGTCATCACTGGTCTCGGTTCTCACTGGCGCTCCACCCGAGCCATTCTCCAAGCCCACGGAAGAATCTCCAAAGCAGCCCTCTGCGCTGAAATCCATGTTGAGCAACAAGACATGGATGTGCACGAAGAACGTCACAAGAAGAAGGTATCAACACCAGAGTTCGCCTTCCACATTCAACGGTGCAACAACAACAATAACGGACAACACGAGCCCAGGCAAAAAGATACGTACCACCGTTTTGTCACCTCTGCAAAACATCAGGGCACTCCTGCGTTCACTGCCCAAATCAATAGCAATAGACACCACCTCGTCAGCTTCAAACTTCAAGGAGCCAAGTGACTTCCACACAACAGCATCCTTCCAACCAGCCGTCATCTTCAACAACAACGCCCCAACCTGCACGAGGAACAAGAAACATCATAAGCTGCATGACAAGAACAACAGACTCCTGCATCACCGGTTCACCACCAACTTACTCACCCAAAGAACAACTCAACAAAAGCACACCTCGTCGCGAATCACTGGAGCCAAATCCGACTTACGCAGCCATCGCCCAAAGTGAACTATCCGAGAAAGACACTTGGTTCTTGGACAGTTGCTGCGGACAACATATGTGCTCTTCAGGTGGCTTCATTCATTGGGAACAATGTCTTAGCCGCGAAGCTGTCATCACCGTTGCTAACAACCATAACCTGCGTACACGACGACAAGGGGTAGTTCAACTTCAATCCCGGAAGACTAACGTTATCTTGCAGATGTCAAAAGTTTTGATTGCAGAAGGACTCAGCTAGAACTTACTCAGCGTCAGTCATTTCATGGCAAAGAAAATTCACCTTGAAGGCGACAGCACCACTCAGGAGTTCAAGTTGTTCAAGAATAACGTCTTCGTTCTCGACTTCATTCCAGAGCAAGGCACCACAAACATCGACGCCATAGTCAACTTCACCACGTCAACCCACCAGATCTCGACCCCAACTTCAGTCCCGAAGGCATCTAGTACTCGCACACCATACCTGGAATAGAACGGACAAGAGCGTTGGCAACAATTCAACAGACAACAACGACGTAAGCAAAGACAACACCGGTAGAAGCAGAGACAATACCGGCAGACGTAGAGACAACACCGACAGAAGCAGAGACAGCAACGGCAGAAGCAGAGACAACATCGGCAAAAGCAGAGACAACACCAATCGCTGGTCCTTCAACAACACCAGTCCTCATTGACGACTCTCCACAGTCTCCCGCACAACAGCTAACTGCCACTCCACGAGAAGTCCAGACAAGCGCCAACATCACCGCGAGTTTTTACTCCAACTCCGACGTGTACAGGCGATCACGTGGACATCGCGCCAGCGAATCAATATGGCATGCAAGGATGGGACGCCCAAGCAACACAACATTGAACAATACGATAAGAGCAGGAGTCCTCGACAAAGATTCACTACTTCTACATGACGGCAGAGAACTTCGACGAGTTTGCGGAACATGTTTTACATGCCCCGAAGCCGACTTACCCCATCAGCCGTTCGTCTCTCACCACAACCCGAGCACACCAGCATACACACCATTGGAGAAAGTCTAGAGGGACATACTATACGCTCGCAAAAGTGGACAAGGAGCATACAATTACGACATCACGTTCATCGACGCCGCCACCCAATACGTCTGGCACCTCAACCTTCCGAGCCGCGACATGGCCTTCGAAGCCTTCGTCGCGTGGCTTCCAGTAGCAGAACGAGAATCAGGAGTGAAGCTGAAACTTTTCCAGTTAGACGGGTGAGGGGAGTATCAGTCAAAGAGGTTCAAGCAGTACCTGGCAGCGAGAGTATCAAGCGACCCATCTCTCTTCCCTACGCCCATCAACAATAAGGTGTGGCAGAAAGGATGATCCGGACCCTCCAGAACACCATGCACAAGCTGCTACGTGGCATGCGGCTACTCAACCACAAATGGCCCGAGGCAATGGACCATGCTGTAATGCTGCACAACTTACTCTCGACATCATCGCTCCCGAACAACGCATCACCCCATCTGCTGTGGACTGGAAAACTGGGCAGCACAAAAATGTTACGAGTGTTTGGCTGTATGGTATAATACTGACCCCCAACTACACGAGTCGGCCGATTCTCCCAACACGCACAGTGGGGACTCCACCTGGGCATAAAAAAACACTACAACGCGTGGAATTTTTTTTACGTCCACACGAAGGAAACAGTGGCAGCACGTGATGTAATTTTCTAAAAACGACTTACTCTTCAAACGTACCTGGACAATTTGGAAGTAGAACGAGACCCCACGGGCGGATTTCGTGGTGACCAGGCCTTCGTTTTGGCAGCAGAAGAGGCTGAATGGGATGAGCAAAACGTGGACGGAGCATCGGAAGAAGTCGGACCTCTTCCCTACTGTTCGGTTGATATCCCGATGGACGACGACAACCCTCGCGAAAGCATCAACGCCGAAGTCTACTACGACTTCACCGACAACGGTTACGCTACACCTCAGCTGGTCAACACAAATGATTCAAAACGCATATGCCCCAAATTCTTTCCTGATCCAGAAGCGGGAGACGAAGCAGTCTATCACGAGGACCCAAATCTCCCTCGCTACACACAGAGTGGGCTGCAAATACCCGGACTAGTCACCGCCGTCCACAGGGCTTCGCCACCAAAGGAGCCAGTTTAGTAGGCTCTAGGGGGGGAGCACAGGGAAAAATGGCGCGAAGCCATGGACAGAGAATTAAAGGCACTGGAAGAACGCAACACCTGGAAGATAGTACCCATCGGAGTGGCATGCAACAGAACTATACTCACCAGAAAATGGGTCTTCCGTGTGAAGACAAAAGCAGACGGAACGATTTCACAAGTTCAAAGCACGATGGGTCGTGCGCGGCTTCGACCAAGAACACGGGCGAGACTTCACCGAGACCTTTGTACTGGTCAGTCGACACACCTTCGTGCGGATTCTCCTCACGATAGCTTTATGAAGCGGAAAAAACTTCACCGAATTGACGTGGCCAACGTATTCCTCTACGCTCCCGTCGACGCCGAGATTCTTGTTAAACAACCACACTGATCCAACACAAACCCTAATCAAGTCGGTCAACTGCTGAAGTCTCTGTACGGCATCAGGCAAGCTCCACGACTATGGCAGCAGAGCCTACACGCCCGACTTAATCTGCATCAGCTTCCGTCAACTGCCACACAACCAAGGAATGTACCGAGTTACAAAAGCCGCCGACCACATCCTACTCATTGTCAAAGGTCCACTGGTGATCCCCGATTGATATTAGGGAAGGGTTACAAGCTCGTTGTCATGGGGGGTTATGGGCGCACTGACCCGCTACTTAACAGGCCATTTTATCCCAATGGTCTAAAGGTTGGGATCTGACATGGTATCAGAGCGAAGGTCTCGGGCTCGAATCCCGGTGTATGCACTTCGGGCATCCCAGTGCGGGGGGGTGTCAGAGGTCCACTGGTGATCCCCGATTGATCCTAGGGAA